TAACAGACTTAGAGCAGTAAGAAACAGCTTAGCAACATGCTGGTTTTGTAAGAAACCTTAGAGATTTTCTTCTGATATGCAAAAATCTAGTTTATTAACAAGGTGACCAGACAAGAGCAGTCAGGCTTTGAGGATTACATGAATAAATGATGCATCTTTATGAGTAATGCTATTCCTATACAAGATGTTGCTGTTTTGGTTGCACATAAAAAGCAGGAAATGTTAATGACCTGATGAAACACTTACTGCAAACCAGTTTTGTAGTGGCTTCATCTCTGCTACATTTGTGTAGTAAATGAAATCTATCTGCCTGTCCATCCGTTTGTCCGTCCGTCCGTTCATTTATCTATCCACCCATTGATCCATGTCTGTTTTTACCCATCTGTCTATCTATCTATCTATCTATCTATCTATCTATCTATCTATCTATCTATCTATCTATCTATCTATCTATCTATCTATCTATCTATCTATCTATCTATCTATCTATCTATCTATCTATCTATTTATCTATCTATCTATCTATATCTATCTGTCTGTCTGTCTGTCTGTCTGTCTGTCTGTCTGTCTGTCTGTCTGTCTGTCTGTCTGTCTGTCTGTCTATCCATCCATCCATCTGTCTATCCGTCTGTCTGTCTGTCTGTCTGTCTATCTATCTGTCTGTCTGTCTATCCGTCCATCCATCCATCCATCCGTCTATCCGTCTATCTGTCTGTCTGTCTATCCATCCGTCCGTCCGTCCGTCCGTCCGTCCGTCCGTCTGTCTATCCGTCCATCCATCCATCCATCCATCCGTCCGTCCGTCTATCCGTCTATCTGTCTGTCTGTCTATCCATCCATCCATCTATCCGTCCGTCCGTCTGTCTGTCTGTCTGTCTGTCTGTCTGTCTATCTATCTATCTATCTATCTATCTGTTTGTCTGTCTGTCTGTCTGTCTGTCTGTCTGTCTATCCATCCATCCATCTATCCGTCTGTCTGTCTATCTGTCTATCCATCTACCCATCCATCCATCTATCCGTCTAACTGTCTGTCTGTCTGTCTGTCTATCCGTCTATCCGTCTATCCGTCCATCCATCTATCTATCTATCTATCTATCTATCTATCTATCTATCTATCTATCTATCTATCTATCTATCTATCTATCTATCTATCTATCTATCTATCTATCTATCTATCTATCTATCTGTATGTCTATCTGTCTGTCTGTCTGTCTGTCTGTCTGTCTGTCTATCCGTCTATCCGTCTATCCATCTATCCATCTATCTATCTATCTATCTATCTATCTATCTATCTATCTATCTATCTATCTATCTATCTATCTATCTATCTATCTATCTATCTATCTATCTATCTATCTATCTATCTATCTATCTATCTATCTATCTATCTATCTATCTGTCTGTCCCTCCATCCACTCTGTGATGAGACATATAAACTTGTAGAGAGACCGAAGTGTTTATCAATTTCATGGTGGCTCTAATTTAAGGATGTGGGGCTTTGATGTTGTAGTGAGGGGACGGGGTGGGATTTGGGTCTGTTTTGAAAGGTCAGAAAGCAGGACAGCGGTGGGGAGAGATGCGAAGCCTAACACTGGCCACAAACAGGCCACATTCAGTTCCGTTTTGAAGTGAGTGACTGAAGAAAGCCATGTATTAGTAATGAGGCAACAGGACTGTTGGTAAATGACTCCAGACCTACTTACAGATGGCCGAAAATAGAGAAGTACTGAGAAAACCCACACTGAGGACTCCCTACACACAGCTCAAAGCAGAACTCGCTACAACGCTACTGTCTATGTTCAATAAGACTATACTGTACGTGCAGACAGTCAGGCAGTCAGACAGACAGACAGACAGACAGACAGACAGACAGACAGACAGACAGATAGATAGATAGATAGATGTTGCTTTGGAATTGTAAGGTTTTATCTGCGCTCTAAATGATTTTGAGATATTGAGCTTCTTCTTTAAGTTTTTGCATTCCATATAGCAAACAATATGTGTGTAACAGTTCTCATTTATACATTAACATGACAGAGACCCTAAATCTACTTTAAATGCAAATTATTTAAAATTGCAAATTGGGATAAAAAAACAGGGCAAATGCAGATCGAAGCTTCTAATTCAAAAGTCATTTTCCTCTTGGAATTATAAGGTTCTATTTGGTAGATCATTAATTGAAGCATTACTTTTCAAGAAATTCAATAAAAAATAAATCGGAGTTGTAACAATAGGTTGAGGATTGACAAAGTAAAATTTTTGCTTTCTATAACATTAATTTATTGTTTTAGGATGAATTTTTTTCTTGTTCAAATTAAGCATGCAAGGCTGAGCAAAATATTTTTTTCCAGTGCAGATTTTAATTTTACGTAATTAATATGGTAATATTAATTGAATAATATGCTTTATATGAATGATTGAATTATATTTATTGAATCATATGCACCATGAATTAAATTTGAGTATTTGCCCTTCAAGGTTTAATATCAAATTTAAAGACTTTAAAAGAAAACAGACAATGAGGAAATGAGTTTATAAAACACTGAAATATGTTTAACTGACTATATATACACAAATAAAAAAATTCACATTTATATATGTTTCTTTTTCAACAATGTAAAATTGAACATTTCATCTCAATGTCAAAATAGCTTCTAAATCATCACATTCACACGTGACGTTTCATAGACTAATTTCGAGAGGAGCACATGATATGATTGTGCACCGCTGGCCACTCATCCGTAATCAGTAATAATCCAATCAGAATGATCCTAGCTTCAATATAAATTGATCTTTTACTCCTTATTGCACTATCTTCGTTTTGGAAGA